TCCCAAACCTTGACAGTGGCATCTTCCGACGATGTTACCATAACACTAGGATGGAGCAATTGATGATTATTGATCAACATAATATAACTGAGTTGCCTCTGATTGGCTGAAAACATAGACCAAGTAAACTTGACATAACTCAAGTCATTATACAATCCAATACAAATTTTTTTTTCAGTAACGATAAAATTTACCATACATGATTTTAAAGACAATTAAACAGAAGTAGGATTAAATGCACATTAAGGTACCAGGTATTATTTAAGAGGGTGGGGTCTAGTGCAAAATGAGGTACAGCATTGTCAAGACCCCCCTTTTATTATGAACAACAATCATAATCAATRAGTATTTCAAGTTTACTTACCTATAAACTGGATGAAATAGGACCTTGGTAATAGGACTTCTATGACTTGACAAGGAATATCTAGGAAGTACAATGAAAATATGAACGAATTACACTTGGAATTGAAACTTTTTTTACAGGACAGGTTAGTTCAATGTTTCACAGTGCATCAAGTTACCTTTCTGGCGGCCTAGGTATCCAATCTTCAGGAGATCTATTTTTGCTTGGTCCTAGAAATAAAGTAATATTTCTTCTTAGATCTTATTCTATGCAACAATATTTTAACTACAATTCAATGCATTTAATTTTTTTTAAACTTACACATGTGTGCATATATTTCTAAACGTTAATTTTTCCCCAGTTCAGAATGTTGCCGTGGCCGTTTGAGAGTTCTGTTTCTTATGGACTAAACAGTCAGTATTTAAAATTTGAATGATTTTTTTTATAAATTGAATATTACTCAAAAAGAATAAAAATATCATTTACCAGCTTATATACTATCATACTGAGAATATCTTTGCCTGTTGGTCTCTAGGAAAATGGACCTTGGGCTAGAGTGTTTGTCTATAAAGGTATAACCATTATCTCCACGTGGACCCCCAAGACAGTAAATAAAATGTATGCATTACCCAAACTCATTAATCATAGTCAAAACAAGGTTTTTTGGGGTAAGAAAGGCCAAGTWAAGTAACAACAATGTCATCCATCCTTACCCCACTTTTCAGAATTAAATATTTTGAGAAAAAAATAATGGCTATTCTTACTGGCTAAATTTTTTTTGTGTGYAAAAAAGTCAGGCAAGTAACACCAATCTTACCATTCCTTATCCCACTTTTTGGAATTAAATAATTTTGATAAAAAATGATAGATATTTTGACTATTACTTGTGAGACCAAGTTTTTGTGGGGTTAGAAAGGGTAACACAAGTAACCATTAATTAATTACCATTCCTTATCCCAAATTTCAGAATAAAATTATTTTGAAAAACAAAAATTAAGGATATTCTTAAAAAAAGAAAGAAAGAAAGAAAGAAAAAAATAAAAATAAATAAAGGATATTCTTACCACCACCTGTTCGCACTTCCTTTTCTGCCTCAGACAACCTGGACTCAAGGTCCATAACCTGTGTCAGTCAAAAATAGATTTAATTTCTGTACTCTAATTATACTCTACTTATAACCATTTTATTTATGTGACCCACTCAACTAGCTATGATTGGGGATGTCTGGATATTTGTCATCTGTCAGTCAATTGCTCAAATTATCCGACAAAAGAATGACATCTGAAATTTGAGTGTAGTGCCAAAATTTTTTATGTACACTGTGTTGTTTCTAGATAATTCACTTATTGTATTCTATACACCTATGTATTGCGTAGTTCCAGAAATCATCCATATCCACCCCACAGAGGAATTTGGAATTTCCAAAGAGTAGGTGGGTAAGAGAAAGAACAAAAATTACAGAGTTTGTATGGAAGAAAATCGGAATTTCCAGTGGGTAGGGGGGTGTCTTAAAAAAATTCCTCCATGTGGGGGGATGGATAATTTTTGGAACTACACATTCCCAAATAGTAGCACCAGTTATTATCAAATTTGGCATTTTTAATGAAAATGGAGYAGCAATCTTATAAGAAGGAAAGAAAATGTTAATCACTTTTTGTTTGGGTTATGTCCACAWTGTTTTTCATCAAACACCCACAACAAAAAAATATAATTTATGGAAAACAAAATACATTCGGATAAGGGAAACAAAAGCATTASTTAAACCAAATAAGTCATTAAATTTAAATTTTAAATCTATATCAAGTGGCAAGTTCAAAATCATTTTATTTTTATTTTTTTTGCTATCAGAAAAAATTAAGATGATACATTATTTGAGATATCACAATCTGTTTTTTTTATCTCCTTTAAATTATTAATGCCCTGAAACAATCTCTACGGGGTGAATAAATCWAGGGATCGAGTCRMTCACAGATCAATCCCTAMAAYRATCTTTGGGCTGATTTAAGTTAGGGTATGGCTATCTCACAGAATGAACTCTGAAAAAACCTCTATTTTTTATTTACAATTTTTTAGATTTTYCTCCTCACYTTTTTTTGTAGTCTTATAACTGAAGTCCATTTTTTTTCTAGTAATCCATTATATTTTGCTTCCAGTTCTCCTGGCTGTGAAAATGAAAAGATTAATAAAGAAATTTAAATAAAATATGAGACTGAGTGGGCAGAAGTAATGTAATACATCCTTCAAGGTGTTGCCTTTTTATTCATCACATCTGTTAGCATGGAAAATCTGAATATCCTCATCAAATACTTCTCTTTGAACTTAAATGAAAATTCAGATAAAATGTAGGAAGAAATCTAACTAAAACTAGTGTTATTATGATGTACAAATATAGAAATGAATAAACATAACAAATAAGTAAATTTCAAATTAAATTTTAAAGACTTGTACGTGAATAACAATGTTCAAGAGTGAAGGAATGTGTTTTAAGATTAAGAATTTAATAAACATCACAGGTTTTGCAACAATGATAGAATTTGTTTTAAGTGAAAGGATTTCAAAAAATGTCAATAAAGAAATGGAGGAATCTATAAATTTTTCCTTAATATGAAAGATTAAGTGACTCAGACATTTGTTTTGGTTTTAAGTGAACAACAGCTCGGCAAAATGAAGATCAGCATTACTTAAAGTATAAACATACATTAAACTACATATCGTCTCTGAATGACTGACTCTCATGCAATAAACATTTATACATTAGCACAGTTTGATATTAGTCTATGATTTTCATAATCTTATCTCCTGTGGTATATCACAGTTGTGCACCACTGTATGGCACTAGCAATAAGGCAGTAATCATACATGTAGTACTAAAAGTATACTGGTAATAAATATAAGATGTTATATATAGCATAATGCATACAAATTGAAAATTTTTAGTTTTAATTTTTGTTTAAGATTATGATTTAAAGTTTTTTTTCCAAGTTCTCTTGCTTCCTTTCCTCCATGAAAATTAACACTTATTTAAATTTCAAGCCTAATGAAATAGTCCTGCATGTACTCTAGCAGTCTTCCTGGCAAAACAAAGGTCACGGCAAACCAAATATATGTATCTTTCCTGATCAAGTTCATTATTTGATCTSAAACAATACTAATTTTATAAACTTAATTTACATCACAGTAGAAGGTTATGCATCAGTATGGTTTTGGCTATTAAGGCTGTTGTATATTTACTYGACCTTGATCAACTTATCSCAAATAGACAACRCTTTATTKATAATTTATATCAACAGGATAATATAAATTTACATGTTGTTAATCTCTGTAATTTTGGTTGTGGGGGAGTGGGGTGGGGTTGGGGGACAAGTTAGTAAACCAAGAAAGGGAGTCACAAAAATATATAACTTTAAGCTGAAAGCCAAACATACATGTCTGTAATTGTATTAAAAAATAATTACCATTGTTTGCTTGTTGAGTAAATCAAATTAGAGCAAAGGAAGTTGCTAATGATATAGATAACAATTTTTCCAAGCATAAAAAAATGCRTTGAAAAATAAAAAATTGGCAGATAGAAAAAATATCTCTTTGGCAAGCTTATAAGTTAGAATTATGGTAATTGTCAACATTAGGAATAGGAAGAATAATGGATAGGAAGAATAATGGATATTATTTGATAGGAAACAAGTGCAGTCTGTTGGGTGTCTATTGAACAAGGACTAAATTTGATGAATAATTTAAATGACAAATTTAATGATACAAGAGAGGTTAAGCTGTGATCTGAGAAGAAATATCAAAGAAGATAACACTTGTCTAGACTTATAACTGATTCCAAAAGTTGGGTGTTGAATGTCTAGATTTAAAAAACCCTGAAACAAACCTCTGAACAAATCAAAACAAATATGAATAATCTGTGAGTTAGCTGTCTCCTGAACTACTGTAAGTCWGGGGATGGCTAATTCACAGATCGAACCCTGAAACAACCTCTGGGCTGATCTAAGTCAGGGCAGGGCTAACTCASAGATCRAACGCTGAAACAACCTCTGGGCTGATCTAAGTCAGGGCATGGCTAACTCACAGACTGAACCCTGAAACAACCTCTGGGCTGATCTAAGTCAGGGCATGGCTAACTCACAGACTGAACCCTGAAACAACCTCTGGGCTGATCTAAGTCAGNCTGAACCCTGAAACAACCTCTGGGCTGATCTAAGTCAGGGCATGGCTAACTCACAGACTGAACCCTGAAACAACCTCTGGGCTGATCTAAGTCAGAGCACAGCTAACTCACAGATTGAACCCTGAAACAACCTTTGASCTGATCTATGTCAGGGCATGGCTAACTCACAGATCGAACCCTGAAATAATATCTGGGTTGATCTAAGTCAGGGGATGGCTAATTAACAGATTGAACCATGAAACAGCTTCTGGACTGATCAAAATCAATGAATGTTGGGTTCTGCAGAGGGAGGAATCAAGGAGAGACCTACACAACTCTGCTATACTAACATGTAATTCCAAGTTCAGATATCAAAGTGGAAACCCCAGAGGTGAAAGATGAATGTATTACCGCTACACAAACCTTGATTCCCCTACTATCTTATTAGGATTTTTGGTTTTGAATTAACTTACCATTTTTGCATCCTGCTTGAATGCAWTCAGAGTATCCTCAAAACCACATTGATGAAGATAATCTGCAATCGCTTTGTTTCTGAACAAAAGAAACAATGAGCTGTCAATCACATAAATCAAACCCTTGGAACATACAATGATTGCAATCAAAGGCTTTTAAACGACATCAATTAATGTCTACATTAATCTGATATCTTTATTCCAAAATTTCAGACTAAAAACTCATAAAGATATAACATAAAAGTATATTCTGCTAATAAACTGCAATATTCTTGAAATTTTGTGAGTGGGAATTTTTTCTAGGGAATTTTATGACCCAATTTGTAAAGATATCTGAAGTTATAAGATCTGTAAGTGCATATCTAATGACCTTAATTGAAGTACATACATGTACATAAAACAGCAAATATAATTACTTACAATTCTTCTTTTTGTTTTGGAGTAAGGACCATGGCTATAATTTCTAAATGTCCGTCGTCTATTAAATTCTTTATAGATGATCATTAATGTAGAACAAGATTGCTACAGTATTCATTGTAGGATCGTCATGACATTACATTGGAAGATCTACGTGAATTATTACGTCCAACAGTTTAGAGAAATCTGAAAACGTWAAAGGCGAAAAATATAGTTAAATTTCAATCTTTGAAAAATATTTTGTCCTTCTAGGATACCTCAGGCTATAATTCTAGGTGAATATTCTATAGGTACACTAAAATTGGTTCAATAAAATGATTTATCAATGTTGGTTAGTGTCTTTCTTTTTCCAGACGGTAGAACAAGTTGGATGGAAAGCCCAGATCTAAGAAGCCWTTCTGGTGTGAAGGAAGCAAGAGAGTGAGCCTTGACAGCGCAGTAAGGCACAATGGAGAACAGATTTCATTCATATTAGATGATTAACGTTCAGATCGTCAAATCCAGCACGATATTACAAATATTTCTCAAGAGAGAACAACCCACCCATCCATTTCGCTCCAAATATATGCAAGGTTTTCCATCACATATCGCTCCGAATCTGGCCAATTTGAGGCCAAACGCGACCAACAAAAGCTAAAAAAAGGACGGYATTACCTTGAGTAGTAGGGAATGATCCTCCTCATTAAAAAGAAACCTTCCACGGTCCAATAAAGGGGGAGAAAAATGCGAAATAGTGTCGGCCTGTGGGCCAGCTTTAAACCTCAAACACCGCTCTATTTCAAGCACTTGGAAAAACGGCTAACCCACAATGCATTGCGAAGGGAGGCGCACCTGCGCAGTGGCGCTCCCTCGCCCTTCCGAAAATAGGGACTTTATTGAGACTCTTTTTTGATTCCCCAACCTAAAACGACCCTTTGAGATTTTATTAAATATTAAAAATTCCAAAAGTTTGCAAGCAGATTTTTTTCAAAATCGCATGCTAACACAAGATATCTGGAAAAGATTCTCATCTTTAGATTAAGAATTAGAGATATTGAAAAAATAACACAATTTGAATAGCAGGTCTTTAGAATYTTAGACAAAATATTCATTCCTATTGCAAATTTTATCCAACAGAAAACTTAAAACTTCACAAAGAGAACTCCAGAATGATGAAATATTATCTTCAGTTTATTTGGAATAAATAATTGTATAATGAAAAAATTTAATATRCAGATTAAAAGGAAATCCAAGAGGAATTTCAATTCAAGAACATTTCATTTATAAATATTATTCATTTCTTTTTTGAAGAATTTTTCTTATTAAAAWTTTTTTTGAAGTCGGAAACAGGCGSCACAATAATTGGGTCAAGTCAGTAACAGTGCAAATGAAGTATACAAGAAGACAAATTAAGTATCTATCAAAATATRTCGTTTCTTTTTTCATCAAAATCGTCTCTTTCTTTAAAGCATAAGTGAAAACATTAGGGGCGAAATCCAAAACAATTCTTCCCTAATACGGCTAGGGAGGTCTCATTTAATTGGATTGTCGGGACAATTCTTCAAAACCAAATAATAACAACCACGTAGGGACCTTTAGGGCATCGTTAAAGGCGTAATAAAATAATCTAAATATCTAGAATTCAAAAATATATTTTTTATATCATATGCAAATTTATCGGCTGCGCAGACTGCGCGCAAAGCAAAGGGAATGATTTGTCGTTGCATTGCATTGTGGGAAAGAAGTGAAAACCAAGATGGCGGACGCTGCAGAATTCTCCGCAAAAACTGATCGTCTGCCGTCTCCCTGCGATTAYGAGCCACTAAAAATCTGCTTGGAGAGAAATAATGGAGACAGATCTAAGTGTAAGAAAGAGCTGGAAGATTTTCAGCGTTCCTGTGCCGAAAACAAAAGGTAAGATCGAATTGATATGGTTTTCACAGCCRCCATGTTGGATAAATTTAACAAAATATTTTTCATTAATCTCTTTTGTTATGTCATCCAATATGGCCGCCGTGTCTTTYGTTATTTTATTCATTTGGGAATTATTGAAAACCAGCAATTATATTGTTTAGGAAACTTAAGGGGAAGCAAGAAACTACAATTGAATGTGGTTGTTGAAGGAAGCGTTCAAGCAAGCAGCCATGGTATGATGATTTCCTATGTATAACAATACACTTTGGCATAATGTTTTGTCCATTTCGGACCATGTGCAAATAAAAGCT